TGCGGGGCTCGATCCCAGGACTCTGAGATCATGACCTGAGCCGAAGGCAGTGGCTTAACCCACTGAGCCACCCAGGCGCCCCAAGTAGATAAATCTTTAAAAAAAAAAATAAGTCTTCCAATCCATGAACATGGGATATCTTTCCATTCATTCTGATACTCTTTCTTCCAACAATCTTTTATAGCTTTCAATATGTAAACCTTAAATGCTTTTGTTAAATTTATTCTTAAATATCTTATTCCTTTAGATGTTATTGAAAATGGTATTCTTACATTTAGTGCTCTTGACTTTAAAAACAATTACCTGATTTGTCTCCTCCCTTTCTCAGAAACGTGCTGGCAAGTGCATCAGCTGACAACACCGTAATTCTGTGGGATATGTCCCTAGGGAAACCAGCAGCTAGCCTTGCTGTACACACAGACAAGGTATGGTGATTGAGTGGATAAAAGGGTGTCTAAAAAGTGACAAATGTTGGCTACAATAATCCCAAACATACATGACTTTCTATGAATTATAAAGTGCTTTGACATGCTGTCTTATTGGACCCTCACAGAGCCCAGTATGACAGTTAGAATTACTCATCTTAGAGATCCAACTACGGAGACAGATGAAGTGACTGGAAACATTAGTAATTTGTAGCTTGTTTACAGAGACCCATAAAGAGACAGGGCTGTCAATCACCAGATGAGGTTAAAGAATTTAACAGATCTGTTGTTGCAGAACTCAGAGGTCAGGTGTGCTAGCGTACAGTGGGGGACTTCAGAACATGTCAGAATATGTAGAGTTGCCCAGTTTGACTGCTCGCTCTTTTGTTCTCAGTATATTTAACATTTGAGGGATGTAAGTATTCTGTCAAACACAACTTGAGAAATCCTGCATTGTCTTTAAAGTATCTGCTTTTATTTGAAAATGCTTGTCCTTTTAAGTATGTAGTACATTTGTTTCTCTAAATACTACTAAATTTCAAAGGGAGAAATTTATAGAAACACTGCCAAATTGATTCTCTTGATTTAAGTACTCAGCAGTTTTACCAAAACCAAACAAACATAGATCTGTTTATTTATGTTTTCTCCTATTAGGTCCAGACTCTGCAGTTTCATCCATTTGAAGCACAGACTCTGATTTCTGGATCCTATGATAAGTAAGAAAACACTGCAGGAATTATTGCTGCTGTTTTTAATCTTCTAATTCAGAAAGTATGACTTGATGCTCAGAGTACAATACTGAGTGTTTAAACTTGCAGTAATACTCACTTGTCCCTTTCAACTTTGGTCCTTTCAGTCTCTAAGGGAGTGTTGTTCTGTTGTAATAATGTAGTTCCTAACTAGCACTTGCTTCGATTTTTAGAGGGCATAGGAGTTAGCCATTGCTACAAAGCAGGCTGTCCAAAATTCAGTGATTTAGAATAGACTTACAATAGACATGTATTTCTTACGCCACTGCAAGATTGAGCTAATCTAGGCTAGGTTCACCTGGTAGATCTTATTTTGGTGGGGCTATGGAGATTGGGCTCTCCTTGTTTCCTGTCCTCAGGGGACCAGTGAGCCAGCCCCCACACGTTCTCATGGTGAGGTCAGACGCTTCAGCAGAGATACCAATGCCTCTTTAGACCAAGGCTCAGAACTAGTATACTTCTGGCTTACTTTCTGGGCGGAAAGATATAACATGGAGTGGGCAACAGAGTGTCTTTATGGAAAAATTCCTATAATCCTGACAGAGAGTGTGGCTGGAGAGGAAGGTGAGGAATTAGACCCACTGCAGTCCCTCACAGGGGTTTTCCAGTCATGCGTGTGCACCTTTTTTTTGCGGATTGGGTCTGAAGGTGGGAGAGAGAGCCAGTAGAAGCAGAAACCAACTTGCAGTCTTTATTTTGATTCCTTACTCTTTTGAAGAGTAATAGTTATATTTTTTAGTTCGGATTCATTCAGAATTATAAAAGCCTATCTACTGGCTTCCCCAGCACGGTAACCTGCTTATAGAGTAAATGTGGTTAAGACATGAATTATCTGGCTCTGAGCACTGCTGGGAACAGGAAAATTCAAAGTTGTCCTAGTCTCTTGGAAATAGGGAGGATTCATCTTGTGAGTGGATGGCTCAGCCTGGAGATGGTCAAGTCTGCTATGATATCCAGAGCCACCAGTGCCTTCAAGTGACAGAACCAGAGTACCAGCTAGTGAAAATCAACTCCTCTTTTCTTCTTTTAGAACCTTAAAACAGGCTTTATATAATTGGATCTTGAGTTCACAGTGTTGTTTTGTTACCATTTCATTAAAGTAAATATAAAACATATAGACGAATTGAACTCTTAAAACCCCAACTTTGCCTTTCTGTCCAGGTCAGTGGCTTTGTATGACTGCCGAAGTCCGGATGAAAGCCATCGAATGTGGCGATTCAGCGGGCAGATTGAGAGAGTGACTTGGAATCACTTTTCACCTTGTCATTTTTTGGTAAAACTACATACTGTTTTGCTTATCTAGGTTACTAATGACTTGCTCTAATTCCATTGTAGAGAGAATCTTTCTCTGGTGGAGGTTTGTTTGTTTTTTTGGGGGGGGGGGGGGGGGGTTTGTATTTTGTTTTTTTGGTTTTTTTTAGTCTCTACGCCCAGTATGGGCCTTGAACTCCCAACCCTGACATGGAAAGTCACATGCTATACCAACTGAGCCAGCCAACTGCCTTGCTTTTTCTGTATTAATACTGTGGAATAGTTAGATTTTAGGGTTAAAAAAACTCTTAATAATGGGGCAGCCACAAATGGTTAACATGTAAATGATTTTGCTAATTTCCAGCCATTTCAAAGTGCCACATTTTAGTTCCTGATTTTGATTGTATTATTAGTGTTTCTTTGAAATATTAAGCATACCTAATCTATTTTTTTTAATAGTTAATTTCATCCAAGAAGATGATTTTATTTAAATTAAATGGAGCTTCAGTGATGAGAATGCTAGCCTGTTTAATATAGCAGTCTCCCAGATAGGAAAAAGTATTAAGTTCTTGGTTTAAATATCCTTAATATGTACAGGATAACAGTTTTCTGTGTAGCATCCAAAGATTCTGCAGACCTTTCAATCCATGGAGAAATAAACCTGAGCTTTCATCCAGAAGATTAAAGAAATTGTGGTACATCCATAAATTTCCTAATTTTCCTAAAGTAAAATGTGTAGTACTTTATGAATGAGAGAAACGCTTTCTTAAAATCAGTGGATAGTTTTATTAAGGTTCCTGAAACATTGATTCTGAGCACATTTAGTCTCCTCTCTGTGCTCAGAGGCGCATTGCTGTTCTCAGCTGTGTCCTGAAGCCAGATTCCCTTTTATGGTTATCAGGAGTGAAGTGCAAGTTGTATTTGAATGTTGTGTTGTAATTTGGCTCTCAACACTCAAGCACACATAATTTCTGAGGTTATTTGCTAACAAGTTTTCATTGATACTAAAATCACAGATACTTAGGAAAATGGAAAGTGATTACAATTAAATGGGTTGCCTCCTTCACTCCAGGCTCCCACGATGAGACCTCTGTCCTCTTTTTGTCCTCTTCGCAGCCCAGCCATTAAGACTTCCCACTTGTTCCTTTTTCCCCTCGTTTCCTGTCGTGGCTGTTGCCCTCAGCTGGCACACAGGCGCAAGTCTCTCTCCTATCCTTGACTAGGTCTGTCTCTTGGTTCCTTCTTTTCTCCCCTTTCTTGGAAGTGTAACAATCCACCATAATCTGCCTTCCTTACTGATTAAGCCTTTCTGCCAAATGTTGACATTGATTGCTTTCTTCAGAAGCGCTATTTCTTTGCTCCCCTGACCTCCTACATTATACCCTCTCTCTCTGGTTCCCTCTGCCTGTACCGTAAATGCTGTGCTTCCCAGGCCTCTGTTCCCTTGGACCTGACCGCAGCTTGCCCATCTCTCACCCTCGCCCACACCACCACCAGAGCTTCATCCTCATACCCACTGCACAGTACACGCACCAGCTACATTAGTCCATGCAGGGACAAATCCCGCTTATACCCCAGTAAATTTTTCGTGGTTTTTTTTTTTTTTTTTTAAATAAGCTTCTCGGGTAAATAGCTGGTTTCCACTGTAATTTCCACTGCTTACCCATTGCTAAATTTTCTTGCCATGTAGCATGACCTTGACCGTCTTTTACTCTTTCCAGGCCAGTACAGATGACGGCTTTGTGTATAATTTGGATGCACGTTCAGATAAGCCAATTTTTACACTTAATGCACACAATGATGAAATTTCCGGTGAGCCCAAATAGTGTTTCATTTCTATTAACTTATGATGAAGTAAATCTACATTTCAGAGTCTGAACTAATCTCTTCCTTTAGGTCTTGATCTAAGTAGTCAAATCAAGGGCTGTCTTGTGACAGCATCAGCAGACAAGTATGTGAAGATCTGGGACATATTAGGAGACAGGCCAAGTCTGGTTCACTCTAGGGACATGAAAATGGTAAGAATTTGTCTGGGCATCTTCCTTTTCTGCTGTTTTGTTTGTTTCTGACCTGTATTGTCGTCTTTCCCTAGGAATCACTGCATTAAAGAATATGGGTTTGCTGGGATGTTCATTTTGAGCTTAGTCAAATTTGGTGGGAGGTTTGTGAGTCATTGAGTTCTTCTAAAATTATCCTATCTGGTTCCTTTCCTAACAGACACAATGAACAGTTGTTTGGGAAGAAGGATGGAAAGAGATTTTCTAGGACTTAAGTAGAATGGCCATGGTTTTTTTTTTAACTCTGAATTGAGGCCCATCCCAGGAAAGCTTGGACCTTTAGGACACTGTAACTGTTAGGGCCACTTTATCTATCACTACATCTTTGCATAACTAGTTTTGACTACACCAAAATGGATTACTATGTAGTAGCAAAAAATTTAGAAATAACCAGAATTCATTTAGCAAATATTTACTGAGCACCTACTATATGTCAGGCACTGAGTTAGTATAATTGTAGATACAGAACACTGCACATCTGTTTGTATAAATATTTGTGGGGAAAGTAAGTTACAAATGCAATTATATAGTACTATCTCCCGCTTATATTTAGATGCTTAAATGTTTAAAATCTTATCCCAAAACATAAACAGTATTATCTTAGTGATTTTTATACTTTGTGTTTGTTTTCTATAATGCATATGTATTAGTAATAAGCATAAAAAAATTCAGAAGTTAAAAAAATGATTTAATGGTGACCTACAGTAACATCATTGCTTAAAAAGGGAAATAAAAGTTTCTGGGAAAACTGAGATTAGAGACCTAAGTAGTCAGAGTGCATACATCCTCACAGAATGGCCATCGTGCTGAACTTAGGTGGCTTTGTCTTTTAAGACTCTGCAAGAGACTTAAGACATACTGGTGAGTTGGTTCAGATTTATGTAGATAGGAGCAGGGGTTTACATTGGGGCTTTCTGTAAGGACTGACCATCTGTTTTCCTTTTCCTAGGGAGTTCTGTTCTGTTCTTCCTGTTGCCCTGATTTGCCATTTATTTATGCCTTTGGAGGTCAGAAAGAAGGGCTTCGGGTCTGGGATATAAGCACAGTCTCATCAGGTAAGAATTTTAATTCCCTTTTTCTAAACAAGAAAAATGTGTGGCTTGAATACATTAAGTAGATCTGATGTTCATCCTGTAATGTAGTCCGCTTGGGGAAATAGACAAGATCACATGTAATTTGGAGATGTTCATGGTCACAAATTTGTCTTCACAATTTAAATGTAGATTATTTTTTAAATACTTGACAAAATTTGAATTTATGGGAAAGCCGGAAGGAAATATAACATGGTTTCTAAGAACAGCCCTCCCCTTCCCAGTGTGAATAATCCACCTTTTCTCAACTACTTCCCACAAAATCCAGCTTTCCTTAAGGAACCCCTCCTCTCCGGAGACTTCAGGGGAACCTGGTTGCTTATTTATTACCTTGAGGTTGTCTGGCTTGTCCTCTACACACAGAAGATGTAGCTCTACTGATCCCTCAGTCTTCCATGTAGAAAAAAGCTTTTAAATCCAAAAAAGTTTTCTGCTGGTTAATGAAAGAAAATAGTCACTTTATCAAGGTAGAGTAAAACCAGGACAAGGCAAAAAGAAAGTTAAATAGCAGACCAATTTAAAACACGGTTAACTTCATTCAGAATGTTAATCTGGACTTCTGTGTTGGTTATTTCATTTCCCGTTGATAAAGTGTTAAATATAGTTTCATAAAATTTCCACACTTGGGCAGAGAACCATCCTTGTTCATTTCTGCATCTCTGTATTTTATATTATAGGTTCTTAATTTTCTGACCTGGTAACTTCTCAACTGTTTATTTGTGTTTTAGTAAATGAAGCATTTGGAAGACGAGAGAGGCTTGTTCTTGGCCATACGAGAAGTTCATCTATCAGTGGCCCTTTTGGGAGCAGGAGCTCAGACACACCAATGGAGTCTTAATGCGGAGCAGAAAATTTCCTGGTTTTTATTACCTTAACTCGGTTTTAAAAACCTGGCCGAGAAATCTCCACGTGTAGCTATAGCCATGTAGTGACTGAAACAAACTTCGTTTCTTGCTGCCAGACATTCCTCTGCGGCTATGGCGGCAGCACAGACAGGGCTGGTCTTTGTGCTTTGCCTTTTCAGTGTGTGGGGTTTAGGGATCCTGCTCATTTCTGGAAGAGGATAATAAAGAGGTTTTTAAAAAATAATTCCTAAAATATGCCATATGTCATAAGTGACCTATAGGTTTGTAAAATAGGTAGTAATTTATGGAGTTTTAGAAGAAAATCCTCTGATTTTAAACGATGGGTAAACCCAGGCCTTGAAAGGTTGTGACTTGGCCAAGATTGCACAGGATTTATGGCTAAACACGGGCAGGTGCCCCAGGAATTGCTCTTTCCTGACTTGACTCTTTTCCAACTAATGTTCATGATTTTAGAAATGTTCTCAGTGCTACTTGTAAAGTTCAGTGACTAAATTAAAGGTGAAATGTCTCTTTTCCCCCAGCATGGTATTCACTGTTATCAAAGAAAAAGAGGTATTACATTATGATAAAGATGTCAGTCCAACAAGAGGATAGAACATTCATAAATATCAGAGGAGCACCTAAACACATAAAGCAAATATTAACAGACATAAAGGGAGAAACAGCAATACAGTAATAGTAGCAGACTTTAATACCCCACTTTCATCAAGAAATAGACCATTCAGACAGAAAATCAATATGGAAACATTGGCCTTACAGACATAAACACAGCATTCCTTCTGAAAGCAACAGAATACACATTTTCTGTAGCACACCTGGAGAATTCTCCAAGATCACATGTACCACCAAAAAAAGTCTTAATTTCAGAAAATTGAAAATTGAAATATCAGGTATCTTTTCTGACCACAATGATATGAAACTAGAAAATTAGATGAAGCACACTAGAAGATTTGCAAATATATGGAGATTAAATAGCATGCTACTGAACAGCCAATGGGTCAAATAAGAAAGGAGAGAAAAGGCCTTGAGACAAGTGGAAACACAACATACCAAAACTTAAGGGATATACCAAAAGTTCACTGCATTCAGTGCTGGGATCAAGAAACAAGAGCTCTCAACCTAATTTTACACCTCAAGAAACTACAAAAAGGAACAAAGCCCAGAGTTAGTAGAAGGAAAGAAATAAAGATCAGAGTGGAATAATACATGAAATAGAAACTAAAATGAATCTGAGAGCTTTTTTTTTTTTTTTTTTTTTTTTTTTAATAAAGAAAACTGACAAACCTTTAAGCTAAACTGAGGACATAGGATGCAAAATCAAACATGAGAAAGAAGTTGTTACAACCGGTAGACCACCAAAATACAAAGGATCCTAAGAGACTCTATGAACAGAGTAAAACAAATCAGACAACCTAGGGGACATGGAAGATTCCTAAAAATATACTACCTACCAAATCTGAATCATGAAGAAATAGAAAATCTGAAGGGACCAATTACTAGTAAGGAGATTGAATCAGTCATTAAAAACATCCCAACAGGGGCACCTGCGTGGCTCAGTGGGTGACCCGATGGGATGGAATCATGGGATGACCTGAGCCTCTGCCTTCAGCTCAGGTCATGGTCTCAGGGTCCTGGGATTGAGCCCCACATCAGGCTCTGCTCAGCAGGGAATCTGCTTCCTCCTCTCTCCCTGCCTGCCTCTCTGACTACTTGTAATCTCTATCAAATAAAATCTTTTTTAAAAAAATCCCAACAAATAAAAGTTAAGGACCAAACAGCTTCACTGGTGAATTCTACAAAACATTTGAGTAATAACATCTGAATAATACCTAACTAATCCTTCTCAAACTCTTTTAAAAAAATTGAAGAGAAAGGAATACTTCAAACTCATTTCATAAGGCCAGCATTACCCTGGTATTAAACTGGAAAAGGACGCCACAAAAGAATTAGAGGCCAGTATCCTGATGAACATAACTGCAAAAAGCTCTACCAAATACAAACCAAATTCAACATTAAAAGGATCATTTATCGGGACGCCTGGGTGGCTCAGTTGGTTAAGCAGCTGCCTTCGGCTCAGGTCATGATCCCAGCGTCCTGGGATCGAGTCCCACATCGGGCTCCTTGCTCATCAGGGAGCCTGCTTCTCCCTCTGCCTCTGCCTGCCATTCTGTCTGCCTGTGTTTGCACTCTCTCCCTCTCTCTCTCTCTCTGACCAAAAAAAAAAAAAAAAAAATCTTTAAAAAAAAAAAAAAGGATCATTTATCATAATCAAGTGGGATTTATTCCAGGGATGCAAGGATGGCTCAATACCTGGAAATCAGTCATGATGCATCTCATTAACAGAGGATAAAAATCATAAGGTGACCTTAATGAAGAAAAAACATCTGACTGAATTGAATATCCATTCTAAAAACAGTGGGTTAGCAGGAATGTACCTCAACATAATAAAGGTCATATACCACAAGTGTACAGCCAACGTAGTGAAAAATTTAAAGCTTTTCCTCCTAAGATCAGAAACAAAACAAAGATGCCCACTCTCCTCACTTTTATGCCACCTAGTATTGGAAGCCCTAACCAGAGCAATTAGGCTTTGGAAAAGGAAAAGTCATCCAAGTCAGACTCCACCAAAATACTATTAAAAATAATAAAATTCAATAAAGTTCCAGGGTACAAAAATCAATATGCAGAAATCTGTGTATTTCTATACACTAACAATGAACTATCAGAGAAATTTCTTAATCCTATTTATATTTGCATCAAAAAGAACAAAATAGGGGCGCCTGGGTGGCTCAGTGGGTTAAGCCTCTGCCTTCGGCTCAGGTCATGATCTCAGAGTCCTGGGATCGAGCCCCGCATCGGGCTCTCTGCTCAGCGGGGAGCCTGCTTCCTCCTCTCTCTCTGCCTGCCTCTCTGCCTGCTTGTGATCTCTCTCTGTCAAATAAATAAATAAAATCTTTAAAAAAAAAAAAAAATAGGAATTTAACCAAGGGGGAAAAACTTGTACACTGAAAACAGTAAGACACTGATGAAAGAAATTGAAGGCAAATAGGTGAAAAGATATTTATTCCATGATCTTGGAATGGAAAAATATTGCTAGGATGTCCACACTACTACCCAAAACAATCTACAGATTCAGTATAATCCCTATCTAAATTCCAGTGGCGTTTTTCATAGAAATAACACTAAATTTTATGTTGAACCACCAAAGAACCCCAAATAGCCAAAGCAATCTTTTTTAAGATTTTATTTTCAAGTAATCTCCACACACCACATGGGACTCCAACCCACAATCCAGGGTTTGAGAGTCACATACTCCACCAACTAAGCCAGCGAGTTTCCCCTAGCCAAAGCGGTCTTGAGAAAGAACAACAAAGATGGAGGCATCATGCTTTTTTATTTCAAGCTATGTTACAAAGCTACAGTAATCAAAATAATCTGGTATTGGCATAAAAACAGACACACAGATCAATGGAACCAAAAAGCCCAGAAATAAACCCTCGCATACATGGTCAACCAACAACAAAGAAACCAAGAATATACAATGGATAAAGGACAGTCTCTCCAATAAACAGTGTTGGTTAAACTGGATGGCTATATGGAAAAGAATGAAACTGGACCACTGTCTCACACCATATGTAGAAACCAACTCAAAATAGATTAAGGCCTGACCATAAGACCTAAAGCCATAAAACTCCTAGAACATCAGTGATAATCTTGACATCGTTCTTGACAATAATTTTCTAGATCTGACAACAAAAGCAAAGGCAATAGCAACAAAAACTAAATGTGATAGCATCAAATTAAGCTTCTGCACAGTGAAGGAAACTGACAAAATGAAAATGCAACTTACAGGGGCTCCTGGGTGGCTCAGTTAAGTGTCTGCCTTCGGCTCAGGTCATGATCCCGGTGTCCTGGGATCAAGCCCTGAATCAGGTTCCCTGCGCCGCGGGAAGCCTGCTTCTCCCACTCCCCCTGGTTGTGTTCCCTCTCTGTCTGTCAAATAAATAATTAAAATCTTTTTTAAAAAATGCAACTTTAAGGTGAGAGAAAATATTTGCAAATCATTTGCTTTGGGGTTAACACCAAAAAAAAAAAAAAAACAAAAACAAAAAAAAAAAAAAAAAAAAGAAAAAAGAAAAAAAAATCTGATTAAAAATGAGCAGAACGCTTATCCGAAAGAAACAAAAACAGTAACTCAAAAAGATAGCGACACTGCCATATTCATTACAGCTTTATAACAGCCAAGATAGGGAAACAACCTAAGTGTTCATCAGTGGATGGAAAAGAAAGTGTGTGTATACATACACATACACATACAATGGAATATTATTCAGCCATAAAAAGGAAGGAAATCTTGCTATATGTAAGAACATGGATGGACTTTGAGGGCATAAATTATGCTAACTGAAATAAGTCAGACGATACCATATGATCTTGTTTATATGTGTAATTCTTTTTCTAAAGATTTTTATTTATTTATTTGACAGACAGAGATCACAAGTAGGCAGAGAGGCAGGCAGAGAGGAGGAAGCAGGCTCCCCGCTGAGCAGAGAGCCCAATGCAGGGCTCAATCCCAGGACCCTGGGATCATGACCTGAGCCAAAGGCAGAGGCTTTAACCCACTGAGCCACCCAGGCGCCCCATGTGTAATTTTTTTTTTAATCTGAACCCAGAGAACAGATGGGTGAGTGAAATGAGTGAAGGTGATCAAAAGGTACAAACTTCTAGTTATAAGTCATGGGGATGTAATATATAGCATGGTGACTATAGCTAACAATATTGTATTGTTTATTTGAAAGTTGCTAAGAATAAATTGTAAAAGTTCTCATTACAAGGAAATAATTTGTAAGTTTATGTGGATGGATATTAACTAGAGTTGTTCTGAGCAAAATCTAATCTTAATGTCATATAACTGAAACGAATGTAATGTTATATGTCAATTATATCTCAATTTTTTAAAAAAGTGAATGTGAAACACAAAGTAAAGATTGCACCCTGAGGCAAAAAACGGTGTATCTTATCTTAATTGCTTCTGTCATGGCCAAAGTATATTACTTCTCCCAAATGTTCTACTTATCCCAACACTAACTTTCCCCACCCAAAAGAAGTTGAATATAACAAAAAAGAAATAATAATGATTATATGAAAAGAAATTAAACAGACACATAAAGTTGGCTTACTGGAATTTGTTTACATTGGGAGGTACTCCCAAACAAAACCTGTAAGGAAATCAGGGATGCAGAAGTGGTCAGAGGGAAAAGTGGAACCACTATGAAGTTTCGACAGATGTCCCGTTCAGATCTTTAGCTGTCAAGCTGAAATGACCCTCCACAAAAGCCTGGAATTAAGTAAGGCACTGTGGTTTGAGACATCCCCCACCTCAGCATTTGGTTCAGACTCTCTGCCAGAAATAAGCAGTCTTGCCAGGCAAGGCAGCTGCCATAAGCTGAGAGCCGTTTCCAGAGAAAACATCCGCTTCCGGGAGAAGTCAGTAGCCAGCACCTCTGGAAAGAG